CGCGCACGTATCTCGGAAGTTGCGTTATTTGTTACGGAGGTATAACATGAATCCGACGCACAGATGTCTAGTACCAATTTGCACCAATTTGCTCCACTTGTGGCGTCAAAATGGCATATCGTGTCAGACTAAAGCACGGGTTTCGTTGTATGGCTGCGTGACTTGGCAAGTGCGGGTGGAGGATCCGAGACTTCTTCAGGTGACTTCAGGAGACTTCTTCCACGGGTGTATCATAAGTATTGCTGCAATCAGCTGGAACCAGCGAATTCCCAGTGAGTTGATCAGGAGACGTGTTTTAGCTGAAGCAGACGGTACTTCCCTTCATGAAATGCATCCGGGATTGCATGCAGAGCTGCCGCTTGTCGAGACGAGAGTTGTTCACCTTTCCCGATTCGGATTAGTCGACAGAATATGACAGCAGAATGGAATGAAGTTATGAGGAGTTTGGGGGTTGTTGGTGCTGTTTGCCTTTCAGGATGAGATCCTTGTAACCTTTCTGTGCTTGACTGTAGACACTGAACGATGTGGTGGTGTCATGACTATGTAGAGCATACTTTCCGTATATCATTAAGTGGCAATTTCCACTCTGTTTTTGACGATTTAACCGTACGTTACGCCCTTCTATCCTGTATTAATTCTAATCTCGCCCTGGAACCACTCGACTCTCGCAACAGATGGCTAACAGGTGTCAGTACAGCTGAGTTTTGGAGGTATTTTGTTTTAGGCTACCTCTACGCCCCATCCCTTGTTCGTTTCTTTTTTCTATCTCAAGGCTTTATCCACATAAAGTGGCACGTTTGTACGGCAGTGAATTACCAGCGTCCTCTGATGTTGCGGCTAATCGTGATGAAGTTAATGGTGATATCGGTTTTCTAATTTTTAGCCCATCAGTTCAGTTAGTGACCAATGTGACCACCAATGAGTCCAAGGATTTGGGATTTTGATGGGTGTAAAATGCTTAAACCCGAGTGGTTTGAGTATTTCCTGGGTTTGTGTATTTCTTGTGATAACTGGAGCAAAATTAAAGCGTCATTATTTGCCTAAAATATACAGCTCAATTTTAACTTATCCCTTTAAACTCCTTAATAGACTCGTGCATTGAATTGTTTTCTTCCTTATGCAGCGAAAATTTACACGATAAATTCATTTTAGTTTTTCCAAAAGTGATGAATTAGGCGAAATTGTGCTGCACTAAAATTATTGTACTCAAACCTACATAGTTGGTGGAGAGCAGTAGAGGTACAGTGAGCTTAAATTCACCATAGAAATGTCCGCTTGTCTCGTTTCAGCTGAATCTTTAACTTACAAACCAGTAAAGCTTGGAGGCCAAGGCAGGATCTTCTACAAAATGATGTTTTTGCTTTCTGTACCACCACGGATACGAATTATTGTTGTAACAGCGTCCCCTTAAATCGTTCACAGCCTTAGATTAGCGCGAAAGTATAACCTTCATAAACAATATTTCGGCTATAACACCTTTTCGGTGCCTAGCTGCTATGTCACCCGAAGAAAGCACGGGGACTGGGATACTGCCAGGATGTCCAAGTCCAGACAAGAGCAGATGAGGCTCAGGGTTTGGTTCGAACCACGGACTTTCCGGTCAGTAAGTCCGAATCATACCGTTACTTCGTCGCAGATTGTTTAAGGGCGCATAACGTAATTCATTTCAGATGATCCTCGCACCCTTTTTAATGCATGCTCCAGATTCCCGATTACCACACTGGCTTTCGATCCAGTAGCTCTCCCTAACCCCATCCTGACACAGAAAACTCGGTATACCTCCCACTGTCTATGAGAGGAATATTTATGCCTAACACTATTGGTTTTTCGCCACACAGCGAGGTTTAGTTCGTTTTGTGAAGTACGCCATGCTGCGTGTATTCCACATGCAGGGTTGACCCATGACTTCGAAATTTCCGGGTCTGGTCTGCCATCCAGAAGCAGTGTTCGACTTCAAGTTCATCTTCTGGTTGTTAAGGACAGAACGTGTGGTCCTTGTCAACCCTGTCACGTAAACCCACAGGCCCAACGTTATCATTCACTGTCATAACCAGAGCTACACATTCTTGTTTTGAGCTGTCTTGTTTGTCCGCCCTAGATGAATTACTCACGATTCATAGTTTGCACTGGTTGGGATATGTACTGCGCATGCGAGAGGACCGTCTGCCTCGCAGAGCTATTTTCGCCCAGCCTTGTGCTGAGTGGACAGGTGGACAGTGTATAACCTGGCAACCAAGTATGAAAACACTAACCAGTATTCTGAATCGGGTCGGCAACTACCGTCTTCCCGGATGGGGACCCCGGGATGGGACTCAATAATGTTTAATGATGCTGGATGAAATGGCCTAATCGCACAATCAGTGACACTCTTGCATCAATGCTATCGCCTTTAATGCATAGCTCTATCATCATCATCAACGACAGCATGACATCAGTGCTCAACACCAATGCTTCACTGCCGTACAGCCATGACTTATTTGAAAGCCTTATTGTAAAGAAAAGAATAAAGGTGGATGGGGGAGGGACTTAGTGCTAGCTTAACACAATCATTCCGAGGTGCCTACACCTCCAGAAATTCACTCAGGCAATCTGGACAGAAACTGACAACAAGAACGCCACTGACATCGGGTGCCAGCCATATCTTGTAGTGTCTCCAACCAGGCACAGCGAGGATCACGCGGTCCCCATCCTGGAAGAAGAAATCATGCCATCGACCGGGTCGCCTTAATCCCCGAATGCAGCAGGATGGGGAAACGAAATCAGACAGTAACTTGGTTCTGACACCATAGCCTGTTTTAGTGGCGCGCTCGCCCAGTCGTATAATAGCACTTCGTACTTTGAGGGTGAGAGACGCAATTCGAAACGCATGGTAACATCACTTAGGTTATTTGGTGTGTTTCTTATCTGAATGGAAACTGAAAGAAGTAGCGCAACATTGGCCAAATATTCAATGAATTTAAGGGCTTCCCAGGAAAGAAGGTCCAAAATTAGGGTGAAAGACAACAAAAGTTTCTCACTTAATTAATCCACTATTAGGTTATGGAGAAAAGGTGACAAACAGTAAGCCTGAAGGGCACCACTTTTGGTCATGTTGGGAGAGTATTCCCAGCAGACCTTAACGCGCCCGCAGGTATATAGTATGATGGTTGGAGGACTGTGAAGAAAATGCGTGGCACACCATTGAAAGATAGACATCCCCACAAAGCAGCGCGACCGAGCCGGACATTACGTTCAGACATGAGAACAACAATTATTGTTTTTCTGTGTGACGATGCTCCAGCAGTTGTCGTGAGGTAGAGATATGGTAAATGCAGCCACGACCCGAACGGAACTCTGCTTGGTTTTCACGGCTCTCCTCACAAAGGTGCTGGTATTCCTGCGTGGGATCATATCTGTGGGCAACTTGGAAGCGATCATGATCAAACGGGCACTCTGATAATTGGCTGATATTCAGATATAACATCTATTTTGAAGACAGGAACGACATCAAATATCTGCTATTCCTTTGGCACTTCCTGTCTTACAAATGGTGTGCACAGGTGATTTCGAGCTGAGTAATTCTCCGTCCTTAGACAAAGCGGAGAAAGACAGTAAAAACCTTATCCCTTCATCTTCTGTTACGACCGAGCCAATAAAGTCCCATTGTGACCTTTGACCTTTATCTTGGAGTTTGGTCAACACAACCCCTACCAGGCCGGAATCCCGCTTGCTGCTCTCGAGTCAGCATCTCACGAGCCACCGTAAGGCGACGAAGCACATAGCATAGCTCTAAGCCATGGGTGTATGCCCCACACTCTCCCGTTTCCTGGTGATCGAAACTGTAGCAGCTGGAACCAATGTGCTTATGATACACAGTTGTAACTGATAAGTTTATTGATTGATTACTTAATAGTGAAAGAAACTGGCCGCCGAAACCACTGCATGGGTTTTAGGCGATCTATGGCTGACGATGAACGCAAAAAATCTATGTTTTCACCTGGCTTTTATCCAAAGATATTTTGTCGACGGAAACAAGCCATGGAAATCGAATGAATGACAAGTTCTTACTTGGTTCTTGCTTCAGCATGGTCCCGATGATCGATCTTAGCGTCTCATGATACGAAATTTCGCTGCAAGTCGAGTTTCTGGCAACTCTGTCTTGACACGGAGGCGCTTTCTGTTTTACATCAGGCAAGAAAGTTAAATTTAGACCTTTTGGCTCTACAGACAATGGACTCGATATGAAAAAAACGTTCTGATAACTGCTGGGAAATGGCCGTGCAAGTAAAAATTCAGCACAGCCACCACCTTAGGTTCATCTGACGTTCACTAGAAGACCAGTCTTTTGATAATGGTGTGAGTCAAAGCACATCGATGTGGATAAAATAAATGCACTCATAGGTGACGGTAGCATTGCAATGTAGCTTATTTCAAACTCGACGGATAATCGATCTGTTGTTGATGGGCACCACGGGTCTTTCAGGAGTTCGTTTGGCGTCTCACTTGCTATCATTATCACTACTATCGTTGTGGCTATTTTTGCAGTTATCTTTATAATTAAGGTTGTTTCAGCAACCTCATTGTGTTCACACTACAGATGAAACATGATCGGAATTATTTTTCTTTCAAAATGTCGTCAAAACAACTAATGTGACAGACCAGTTGTTTGCAAGTGAACCTGTCCAACTGGTTTCATTTTGAATCTATTCTTCCCGATTCAGTCGTCATTATTCTGTGAAATATGTAGCACAAGGTTGCAGCTAAAACACGCGCATAATTACCGGAAATATGTCAGCACTAAGCTACCTAGCACAGTACATCCTCCACGTGTTCGATTAACTGTGTTGCTTTCGGCGCAGCTGTTTCAGTCCATCAGTGCAATTAAAGCTACCGACCTTGAGTTCGATCAATATCTGACTGACTGATTGTCACGTGACGTTTTAAATCCATTCACCTGATATGCACAACACGGTAGCATTTCACCTGCATCATCTCTCCTTCGTTTCTCTTCTCACGTTTAGAATTACGTGAACAGTTTGACGAGGTTCTTCAACTGCGTGCAACTCTCATGGTTGAAGTGGATGCATTGCAACAGATCCGAGCCGAGCTGGAGGATAGTCAGTGTGTATCAGAAGTGCACATCCAGCTGGAACGTGCAACCGAGGAAAACAAACGGCTACAAGCAGCGATACGCGCGGCGCATGAGCAGAGTAAGTGAATTTTTCATGTGTTTTTGCTCCCATTAATGACACGACGGAAAAGAGTTGCACTTGGTTTGTGGCAAACCGTTTCCTGCGACATATTTTCGTCAATGGACCTGAACAACACCCTCCATTCTCGAGAAAATTCAGTTTTCTATTTAAGGAAAAGTGACTTTTTGTTCAGTAAATGAGACTGGCCTGAAACAATCGAAGGCCTTCACGGCTGATACACTACTTTGCTCTGGTGAAAAACTGCTATGCCTTATCCTTCACTCAGTACATCTGACTGGTAAAATAATTGGACAGCTAGTTAAAGTCCCCCAAAAGTGCCCAAAATCCATCGATGGCTGAAAGCTTGTCAAGCTGTCTAACCTGCTCTGCTTCTGTCTCGGAGATGCGTGATGATACTGGCGTATCCTGGGACATATTGTTTACGAGGGTCGTTTCTTGGGTAACGAAAAACTGTGCCACACACGTCCTTCAGGACAGTAGGGTTTAGGCTCTAAGTGAGTATTTGTGGGCAGTTTCACGGCGTACGGTAAACTTTCTCGCTTTGTATAGACAGATCTGACGGATGTGTATTGCTTTAACGTACTAGTGACTGAAACACAAATGTGGCGTGGTGACTGCTCTCAGTGGTCGTCAGCCTTTGTCATCCAGGTCACTACTCACGGATGGGTTTTGTGTCATCTAGCTGAAGTCTAATGAGAACCACAAGATGCCAGTTTATTGCGATATGTACTAAGAGCTCTTTTTTCGGAACTCGTGTGGATTGTTGTCCTAATCTCACCCGTCTTGGAAGTGTTACAAATGATGTTATGCGTTGATCCCGGGGCTGATCAGGTGTCCAGTCGACCGATGGTTGGTCCTCGAAATAGCCTTGGGCTTTGTTGAGGGTCTGTGTTTGTTTTGAAAATGACATTGTTGTGCTATGTCGACATTTTTCTCCACGTTTAAAACAACTCTTCAAAAAGCCTCTTTGATGTATATCATGTAACAGAATGAAGTTCTTGTTTGAAATTTGGTACTAGTGGGTTCCCGTTGCTTTCCAAGAGTCAGTTGCTCATTATTTCAAAAGTATATGTGATTCCGTGTAGAAGCCCTCACCCTGATCTTTGTGGCAGCAGTTAAGACCTTATGATCCGGGTGATCATCTTCGCAAATATAGGCTTGTTTTTCTACCTTCCATCCCTTGTGTTTAAAATTTAGTATCGGATTTGTTCTTCAACAAGCGTGTCATGGAAGCCGAAATGGTGGCGCTTCGCGGCGATCGAGACCGACAGTTAGCGGAAGCTAACGAGCGCGTTCGAATGGCGGAAAAGGCCGTGGTTGCAATGACCTCACGCATTCGTGGTCCGAAGCCCGAGGAGACTGCTGCAGGAGACAAGTCATCATCAGCTTCAGCCGGGTCAGCTAAGCCTTTCGTACCCTTCAAACCAGTCGTTCAACGGCTTAGTGTAAGTTGTACGAAGTGCGTTGCTTGATAGATCAGTCAGTGGTCGGAAGACTTTAGTAGGTAAATTCTTTTGGGATAGTGTGTTGAGTTACTGCTGCAATCGTCTCGCAAACCAAGCGGCTCACTAATAATGCCCAGGATCACTGCACTGATCGCATCACAGTTCCTTGATCGCAGGTCAATCTCATGAACAGATTAAGTCATTCCTTGCGCAATTGAAGATCACTATATATGGGTTTTCCTTTTTCTGCAGTCCAACTAGGACTTATCAGTTCCGCTGATCATTCGATCAACCTACCATATTTCTCATCTCTTATTTGACCGCTGTGACAGAAGGACCAAATACGCGAAGCTGCACTTCACTTTCGCTTGGTGATCAAATGATATGAAATCAGAATGAAATGGAGAACTCAAGTCGACTGCGTTCCCATCCTCCTCTCTGTGAAGCTCTGGTTTCGTGGCACAAGTCAGACTTCAGTACACTGCTAACCACGCTTCAGTGTACTGATTGGAAATCCACCAGAGAAAAACATACTCTCCGTTACTCCATTTTATCGGAATAGGCACTACACCATTGTGCTGGGTGGATAAATTCATTGTTTCTTAGCAGAACACACAGCTCATAAGGTTTCTGTCCTTCTTCGGGCTCAGGTCAGGCAGGCGCAGTTCGCGAGCATACATAAACTTGATGTCTTGAACGCAAAATTGATTAGATGTATGCATTAGCAGGTCACATTGGTACCTTGAATATGTTACCAACTGGAACATAAGTAGGATTTTGTATTGCTCATGCAGTTGCGGGATATCATAAATGGGGAATCCATTTGAGTTGTTCTTTAACAACAAAACGTTTTCAAAATGAGTGCATTTCATCAACTGGATACTTCATTTTAGTTTATTGTACAGCAAGCTCTTCTCATTTTACATTAGTTTTCTAGGTGTGGATAATCCACTTATTCGTGATTTCAATGTTTTGCACGGGACTAGGTGCCGTATTGTGGGTTCATATCGCTCTGTCGAATTCCACGGGATGACTCACTAGCCAACAAGCGAGTGTATGCTCCAGTAGTTCATGAGTGATTGACCGCAAGCGTATTATTTGGTGGGCGAGTTCCACCTGCCGCTCCATAAGGGTGTGCCAATTCCGGAGGATAATGCGCAAAGTTTCTGAGCAGTACTTGAAAAGAAAAAACCGTTCATATGTAGCACCCTTTCGGTACCCATCTGCCATGCCAACGGAAGGGTGCATGACGAATGAGGTACTCCCAGGTCCTCCAAGTCTAGACAGGAGCAGTCCAGTTGCTGAGGTTGGGTTCGACCCACGGAACTTCCGGTGCGTAATCTGGAGCCTCAGTCGGTGAGCTTTCTCGAGCTACTCGAATACACCTACGTATTGTGTTCAAACTAATGACTTTTACAACGAACGGTACATGACAGATAGCACCCAAATCTTTTTCTACACATGCACTGAAAGCACCCAAATCTTTTTCTACACATGCACTGCTCTGTTCCTTCACCGGACCAACAGGGCGTTTCCGACTGTAACTGCACCGGTTTGAAACTTCTCAAAGTTGAATTACTAGTAGGTCTGTGGTCCCCCTATTTTTTCCATCTTTTCAATAGAATGCGGAGCGAACCAAAAGTTACGCGACTTTGACTGGAATGTCCTTTGATGAGTTTGATTCTTTGGACGAGGACGATGGTGAAAACGACGACGCTGGCCAACCACTCGATGACACGCCTCCCGGACCCAGTTGTCCCTCGGTCCAGCATTCCGAGACGATACCTGTTTCAGTGGACAGCCCATCCAAGAAAAGCCCCGATGATGCTTTTTCAGATGATACACATGCTACTCCGGAGGTTGATACAAAAACCTTTGTATTAGATGAGCAGCCAGGTGAGCATACAACGCATACTTGTGCATTGTACCTAGTTGTTTCCTTAGGCAGTTGATACATCGTCTGGGCTTTCGTTTGAATCATTGATCTGTTGTGAAGCACTTGAGCCATGACCGATGTACGGTGCGATAGGTCAGTAAGTCCAACAGATCCATAAGTCAGATTTCTTTTCATCTCGCCGCCATCTATTAACTCCACACACCTTTGCTTCACGCTTTAAATGTGCGTGCTTATGAGATATTACTCTGTTCTATGGATTGTAGTTCACATGAGAAGCCTACTAATACTTAGGTCGCTTCTTTATGCATTCGCCTCTTTATCTACGGTTTGGGGCTATGGAGTACCCAACTATCATCCAGATGGGGCCGATCTGTTATGCTGTTTAGTGTCACCAAATCAGCACCTTTCACTAGTTGATCATCTTTCTTTGTTTTGCTCTCCAGCAGATGTTCCTCCTTCGCCGACTTTGTCGAGTACACCAAGAAAATCCTTGGATGTTTCCGAAGCTGGCTCTAACCGATACATCGAGACTCCTTTGCTCACGGAACCCACGTCCGACTGGGCCACTACCATAGTTAAGTGCCGTGACGAAGCCTCAGCATTAGCAGAAACAGTGCCGAAGGCGGACTATTTGAAGTTACTGGATGATTTGGAAGAAGTTCGTCTCGAACTGGACTCAGTGCGACGGGAATTCGCGGCGAAGTTCGAGGCAGCAGCACTCCAACAGCGTAGTGTGGTGGACGGATACTCGACGTAAGTATGGGTGCACTCGTGTTTCATTCACACACACTTCATCTTGATGTGACAACCTAGTGAACACCTCGACAGATATTCTTGTAGTGTCATCGATGTGTCATGTCCCCTTTGTCTTAGTACTATGGTACAACTTTATTTCCTGAGATTATCAATTCTGTTATTTGTACCCTCGATGTGTCCATGGAATTGAGGAGCTGGTAAACGAATGTGTTCGGATTACCCTAACGACAGAATACTATTCCAAGAGTGCGACTATGCTTTTCTTTATTAGACAGTACTAACTGAAGTATCATCATTGTGGCATGTCGTTCATACTGCCCGCCGTTCATATCAAGACACGTGATCTTCAAGTGTGGTGAAGTAGGGTTTTGGCTTATTCTGTTGAATATTACTGGACGGCTTCTCCCGCCATAACAGACCCTTTTCGTTGTGACATTGGCCCTATCAAATCATGTTAGTGCCGAACTAGGTGATACCTGAACAGTTGGAATGGAACGGTTTCTCATCACCACATATCACTCTCGTCCATTCGGGTGTCCTTGAGATGTCATCTTCCAAACACTTGACACCATGCCGTTTATGAATCTTTGCTCATACTAGAGGAATCCGACTAAACACGCCTGATAGCCAACTTTGTATCGACGAACCTATTCAGCTTTAAGGGGCTCGTTGTTCGTTTGGATGCGACCCTCAGTTGCTCCCTAGCATGTTGAATTTCAGTGAAAAAAAACAGTGTTACTAAACGCTTTTGGCCATCTCAAGTGAACAGGCTTGGAACAATCAGAATTAATCTAGAGTTATTTCGGCTTCCTTTTCTTTTCGACATTGAACCTTCACATGGAACTTCGGGTTCCCTTAGAGCAATGTCCGCACAGACTGACTGGGGAGTTGCTCGACAACGTTTTCAGTCGGAGAAGTGAACACTATGTCGACTGTCGTAACATACCTTTTATCGATAAGCTTCGAATTTTGCCGATAAAACACTGCTGTTGGTCTTTCAGTTCTCTCAGGGAAAGTGCTTCTCCTGCTGTTGCCACCAGAATGGCGGAACCAATGAACAAATGGAATCAGTTTGGAGAGGGCGGTGCTGTAGAAGTGCGCACTGTTGAGGGATTCCAAAGGGCCTGTATAGTGATGCGAGATTTTGGATAACTTAGTCGGTTTCTGGTGTAGACGTCGACTTTTTGGATATAGTTCCACAGCTGAGCGACTGAAGTGTGAATCGTCATGTTTTGTTGTAACTTTGGTGCAGACTGGCCTGTCAAAAGCGGAAGCAAAAAATACCTCTGTAGAAAGACGTTATTCGTATGTAGCAACGCTCAGATTCATTTGCAAAAAACGCATCTTTGAAATTGCTGCTATTTCTCCTCAGTTTCTCTTTTGAACTATTTTGTCTTCATAAAGACAGATGGCCCTGTCAATTTATTGGATTTTACGGCCAATCGATTACTCGGTGTGCATACTTCAAAGTTTAATTTGGACGCCGGAACATTTCTAAATATACCCCTCAAACGTGATTCATCTAAACGCGACGCCTTTACTGTCAGTGATAAACGACTCCAGCTACGCGGCATGTCCCTTTGTACACGCCCCAACACTGTCTTTGTGTCTTCGACCACACCTGTCTTTTCTTACAGATCGATTAACTTATATCAAATGAGTTTTCAGGGAAGTACAATGCAGTAAATTTCGGTGTGAGAACCTGGTTTTCTTGGCTTGTGTTTTTATAGACTGCATAAATATTGTTACGTTTTCTCAGCACTGTTCAAGGAATTCTTACACCATAAGACCGATCAGCAGGGAGGAAAAATTCAGATCGAGGGACTGGATAATCAAACGTCTGAGAGCAAAGTGGTGTGAATCAGCCATAAAGAGCTAGCAGAAAGGCGTCAAAGAGATCACGAAAAGTTTGGGTGTTGGTTGTTTTGTACGCCTTCCAGGATGGGGTCCCCGTGACCCCGTCTGTGCTTGGCTGGAGACGTTGCAAGAAATGGCGGCTAATCGATGTCAGTAGCGTTCGTGCTGTCAGTTTCTTTCCAGA